CAGTAAAAAGGCTAAATTATCTTCTCTTGTTTCTGATTCAACGGTGGAGGAAACCAGCCATAACTGGTCCCAAAGTTTCCAATGAAAGTTTCTGTGTAGAATTGTAGAGGGTTAGGAGGACCCTCGACAATTTCCCAATGCAAAGAGGTTTTAAAAAACCACCTCCCAGATTTATTTTTCCTTTCTGAAGTTAAGAAAAAAGAAAAATTTGTCAAAAATGTTTGCAAAAATTTGAAGGCTGGTGATAATTGGGTTTATAGTAAACCTGTAGGTACCAAATGAGGTCTTCTTCTTCTTTGGTCTAGTAATATTACTATCTTGTATATTAATGATTTTGGTTTTTGCTTTGAAGTTAATTTTCTTATGGTTGGTTGTGATGAACCCCAATGGGCCGTTTTTGTTTATGCCTGCAATGAGCCTGTTTCCAGGAACTTGCAGTGGCAATCTATTCTCAACCTTAGCAATAATTGGGGTTCTTTATGGTTTGTCTGTGGGGACTTTAATGATATTTTATCTAATCAGGATAAGAGAGGTGGTAAGATTAGAGAGGAGAGTAGTATGAGGGATTTCAGATCTTTTGTCCAGAGTATGGGGATGGGGGAGACTAGGATTAGTGGGCATGAATTTACTTGGACTAATAATAGGCAGGGCAGTAATTTTGTGGAAGCTAAATTGGATAGGTTCTTTTTCTCTCCGGATTGGTTGTTAAAATTTCCTAATTCCCTGATTAAGCACATTCATTTATCTGCTTCTGACCACAGTTTGCTGGTCTTGTATAGTGATTGTACTGGTTCCCCTTGTAAGCCCAGATTCTCCTTTGATGTTAGATGGACCAAGATGACATGTTACAAAGAATTAGTTGAAGAAGCCTGGAATATTCCTGTTCATGGCCCTCCTTTATTCAGCATCTAGGAGAGGATTAAAAATGTTAGAGTGGCTATCATTAAATGGCAATCTACTCTGAAGCTCAATTCGAGGAAAGTGATAGAAGAGAGCAGTAGGAAGTTAGAAATCTTAGCCCAGCAGGGGGGGGGGAAGAGACTGGAAGGATTGGCATAAATGGAAGCAGGCTCAGGCAGCTGCTTATAAGAATGAAGAGATCTATTGGAGCCAGAAAGCTAGAGTGGCTTGGTTAAAGAATGGTGATAGAAACACTAGGTATTTTCATGCCAGTGTTAGGAGCAGAAGAGTTAGGAATAGTTTGGATAATTTAGTTATGGAGAATGGGGAGAGATGTCAGGATAAGTTGGATCAAGCTAAAGAGATAGTTAGATATTTCTCTAACCTTTTTCAATCCACTAATCCTGATATTGATTTGTGTAGCTTGGAGGGAATCCCAAGAGTGATCTCTAACCAGATGAATGAAATGCTGACTCTTGAGGTGGATGAGGCTGAGATTAGAAATGTGGTGATGAGTATGGACAGTGATAAGGCTCCTGGTATGGATGGGATGACTGCTCACTTTTTCCAGGTTTCTTGGGACATTTTAAAGCGCCACTTCTGTTCTGCTATTTGCAACTTCTTTAATTGTGGTAGAATGCCCAAAGGTATTAATCATGCCATTATTTCTTTGATTCCTAAAATCCAGTGTCCGAAACTTGTTTCTGACTTTAGACCAATCAGTTTGTGTTCAGTGGTCTACAAGGTTATTTCTAAAATTCTTGCTAATAGATTAAAATGTGTTTTGCCTCATTGTATCTCCCCTGCTCAATCTGCTTTTATTTCTGGGAGACAAATTTTGGATAATGTTATTTTAGCCAATGAGTGTGTGCATTTTCTGAATAGCAAAAGGAAGGGTAAGAACAGATTCATGGCAGTAAAATTGGATATGGCCAAAGCTTATGATAGGGTGGAATGGGGTTTCTTATTTAGAATCTGTAGGAGGATGGGTTTTTCTGAGACTGTTATTCACTGGCTTAAAGAATGTGTGTGTTCTGCTTCTTTCTCTTTTAATCTAGAGGGGCAGGTGCTTGGGTTTGTTAAACCCTCTAGGGGCATTAGACAAGGGGACCCACTGTCCCCTTATCTGTTCATTATTCTCTCTGAAGCCTTCTCTAATCTTATAAAGCAAGCATGCCTGAATGCCACTTACCAAGGTATTAATATTAGTAGAAATTCTCCTGTTCTTTCCCACCTTTTCTTTGCTGATGATGCTCTCTTACTTTGCAAAGCTGATGTTAATCATGCTAATCTGATCCTTGCTATTCTTGCTGAATATGGTTCTTCTTCTGGCCAATTAGTTAATCTGAGTAAATCTTCTGTTTTCTTTTCTAAAAATACTCAGACTGTTCTGAAAAATGAGATCTGTTTAGCTTTGAATGGGATACACTATGTTAATTACTCCAAATACTTAGGTTTGCCTCTTGGAGTTGGGAGATCCAAAAGAGAGACTTTTAATTTCATTTCTGAGAGAGTTAAAAAAAGAGTGACTTCCTGGAAAAATAACTTTCTGAGTGAGGCTGGCAAGGAGGTTTTAATTAAAACTATTTTAGGGGCTCTCCCTACCTATGCCATGTCCTGTTTTAAAATTCCAGTGACTGTTTGGGATGATATCAACAGAGAAATTTCTTCATTTTGGTGGGGAAAAAAGGAGAATGTGGGCAGGAAAATTCATTGGGCTGATTGGGCTGTGATGTCTAGGCCTAAGGGTATGGGGGGAATGGGCTTTAGGGATTTTAAGATTCTTAATGAGGCATTTATTGCCAAACAATTGTGGAGAATTCTTAAGAATCCCAACCTGTTGATGAGTCAGGTGTTAAGGGGTAAGTACTTTCACAATCAGAATTTCTTTTGTATTTCTAAGAAGAGTTCTGACTCTTGGTGTTGGGGTAGTTGGTTGAAAGCTAGAGGGGATTTAAGGAAAGGGTTGGTCTTTAAAATTGGGGATGGGAGGGATGTGAGTGTGTGGGACTCTCCTTGGGTTAGGGGGCTGAGAGGGGATAATCTTGCTAGTTCTTTTGAGGGGGATAAGAGTAGAATTGTTTGGGTGAGTGATCTTCTGAATGGGAGTGGGAGGGGCTGGGATGTGGACTTAATCAATCAAACATTTAATCCTTTCTTATCAGGGCTTATTCTGCAAACTCCTGTGGACCAAACAGAGCAGAGAAACATCCTGAAATGGACTGCCCATAAATCAGGACTGTTTACTGTTAAATCTTGTTATGAGTTGCTATACCAGAATCAAAGGGAGAGAGGTGGCCAGGCTGGGTCCAGTACACAAATGACTATGCAGAAAAGGATGTGGACTAGATGTTGGAAGTTACCTATTCAACATAAGATAAGAAACTTTTTGTGGAGATGCTGGCGTGGGTTCATAAGCACTAAGAGCCAGCTGAGAAAGAGAGGAATGATGGTGGATTCAGTGTGTCAAGGGTGTGGAGAGGCTGAGGAGGACTTGGAGCACATATTCTTCAAGTGCAGTAGAGCTAAGCTTTGCTGGAAAATTCTGGGCATTAGTTGGCAGAAGTTGGAAACTGGAGAATGCTCTTTTAAGGATTGGTGGGCTGAACTGATGACATCTAGAGGATACAAGGCCATAACAGATAGACTCAGCTTATCAACTTATATGTTGTGGTGGCTTTGGAGAACGAGGAATGTCTGGATGTTTGAGAATAAGTGGATCACTGAAAAGGAGGTGGCAGATAAAGCTAAAAGTGATTTGGGTGAGTTTCTGGCATTGCAAAGGCATGAAAAGGGCCTGAGGATCAGTCAGAGATGCAAAATTCAAGAGAGCAGTTTTCTGGAAGGGTAGGGCAGATTTTTGTCAGTGCTCGATGCTCAAATGAGGATGCATCTAGGGTGCATGGGAAAGCAGTTAGAAGTGGTAGAATATTAAAAGAATGGGAAGGAACAATGCCACAACAAGAGGGAGAGGAAGCTGCAGATTTGTGGAGAACGAGATGGTTGTTACATACTTGTGTGGAGGAAACCTGGGAGGATGTGGTTTGTGTTGTGCGCATGTTTGAAACCAAGAACAAATTGGAGAAGATGGACTCTGAAGACTGCGAGGATATTGAAGACATTCTGCCACTTTTAGATGCTATCCCTCTGTATGAATTTGTTGTTGACCATTAGATATTGTTGTAGTAAGTTTTCTTATTGTGGTCTGTTCCACTTGAGGGTGAAAACTAGTTTTCATTCGTGTGTAGTAGTCTTCATCCTTAGGGTAGGCTATTGCGCTTGTAACCGGTTGGTTATGCCTGTATGAATACTTTTCTTATTGAGTTTTTTAATATGAAGTTTATCGTTGGAAAAAAAAAAAAAACATGAACCTTTGACAGCCCAAATGGAGCTTGTTGATATATCATGAGATATTAATAGCTTACACTACAAAAAAAAACTCTTACATTCCAACGAAAATTTTCCGTTGGAATTTTTTATATTTTCCGTTGAAAT